AACAAGCATTTAGAAATATTATTTTAGTTTTCAGTCTTACTCGGATATTTGCAAGTTGAAATAACAACACTTGCAATTAAGTAAACGAAGTCAAAAGCGTTCACCTGATCATATGTAGACGTATTGTCGATATATAATATGGAAAAAACAAAGCGGATGTATCATGAACGTGGATGAAATTTACAAAAACTTAACTAAACATGTTACAGTGGACATAACAAATCTCTATTCAGGTGTCAATTTTCATTGCATAGATAATGGTGATATTCACCTTCTATCTTCAGAAACAAATCGGAAAATTGATAAACTTGATGTCTTCTTCGATTTATCAATAACTTTTTGTTCTGTATATATGGAGGAATTGGCAAATTTTCAACAGTATGGATACATTTTTACCATGAGTATCACAAATGTATCATACATTCAAAAAAAATCTTAGAGAGTTATCTTCAAGTCTAGTTTGTACATAAAACTATAAAAACGAAACAAGTCTAAGAAAAAGAAAATCTTTCTTCTGGGAGGAATGCGACCCATTTGATCAGCTAACTGGATTGGATCTTCAGGGGTGTAGGGAGGACATGTATAATATGAACACCTCCTTCATAGAAAGTGAATTGCCAAAGCTTCAACGGCTCTGGTTAAAATACACAAATTTGACATCGAGTGAAATGAATTTTCCATGGACTAATGTATTTTTCAACCCACCAGATCTAGATATCATACCCCTTCCCTCCTTTAAAGAAGGTGATAGTTACGGCAATAATTCAATGAAAAGAAGTGTCGCTATATATGACTGCATTCTGAACTTCAATAATGATGTTATCTAGAATATATAATCAACAGTAAAATGCAAAAGGTAGCAAATACTATATTCATGGAGGTACATGGTTTAATATTTCTCGATCTATCAAATAGTGAAATTAAAGAAGTGCACAAAAATGCTTTTACAATGCAGACAAAGCTGGAGACACTAATCTTAGCTAATAACAATTTGAGTCGCAGATTAACTCAATTCGTAACGTTATTCTTGCCGAAAACCCTTTGAAAAATTTGCCGTTGAATGTTTTCTATGCTCCAAATATACAATTTGTTGATTTGCGTCATTGCCGTATCAATGCTAGTGGGCTTCAGCCACTGTTGTACAATGCAAGTTTTTCAGAAATGGTGAACACTGAACAAAAGATCCCTTCAATATTTGATCTGTCTCAAAATGATATTACAAAAATACCGATAAGTTTAAAGAATTTATCAGAAGATCTAATGACTAATTTCTTGTCTATTACCATGAAATTTTACCTTAATATAAAGGACAATCCAATAGACTGTATGTGTTCGAAAGTTTTAACACAATGTTAGAAGTTTTGCAGACAATGTCAAAAGCTTTGCGTTTACATGAAATTGACAGGAAATGTCAAGAACCATCGGAGCTCAAAGGACGATTAATGACCACGATAAAACCTGAAGAAATATATTGTCCAATGTGCTAATCACACGGCCAAATCATCTTTTAACAATTGAGCTCTCAAAAATTGATAACATACATAATTTTGAAAATGAAGTTGTTTTTGTTTTTACTTTTTACTCTTTTTTTATAGATTAAATGACAAACCGAACTCAAGTCGTTTTGAAAGGTTATTATTCCTTTTCATGTCAACCATATAAGGACCCGTAACTTGAAATACCAAAGGTACCGGTGGCCTCCCCCTGACAAACAAACCGTATGAAGAACTAGATGTGTATTTTGGGTGTTTATTAATTGTTTCAAAAACAACTTAAAATTTCTGTTTTAAAATTTATGTTACACTTATTTTTCTTTGTTTTGTTTAGAAAGAGTCATGAAAATTCGTATGGACATTAAATCGCAACTTTTCGGCCCTTTTCGTCAGTCTCCGGATAAGGACCTCGAACGTAATAGTATGAATACACAGAACGGATACGGTATTTCGATCTAACCTAAACATGTAAAATAATAATTTAATGCTGTGAGTTATTGACAAGATTATTTCCAATATATTAAGTAAACGTCTATCTAAAATAAGTGAATTCATAGAAAACGATACATTATTTATATGTTTATTATTACATTATGGTGGTACAAACCGAAAGTAAAAAAAATGTAAACCTGTTAACATTATTTCTGTTTACATCTGAAACCACGTGGTGGAACTACTTTCAATCCATATTAACTCCGATATTATTTAAGATAATAGCCGAGGACGTTCCGATTAATGGACATTACCATTTAGTTTCAGGAAATCATACAAATATACCAAACATTACAGCTGAACTCCATACATATTTGCTCTTATTATTAACCTCCAGATGCCCTATAAATGTAAACGGATGATTCACGAGCTGAATGGAGCTTTTTTCAAATTAGAAATTATTCAGTGTAAAATGAAAATAAGAAAGGTTGGGGTAATGATTTTTATGAAGCTTCTTCTTTTTCTTCTTTTTTTAAAAGCATCAAGAATTAATCAAAACAATTTTTCCATTATCCTGAATATATTTCTACTTATGCATTCGTAAAAAGGTGAAATCATAATACTTGAAAGCGAAAAGGAAAAACTTGCTCTGTGCGGGACACCCGTTCGGCTGCAATCATGTGAAAGTTAGTTAAGGGTACCAGATAACTTGTCCTCATATAGGTGATCTGATCTTAAATAAATTAATATTTACATAGTATTACTAAAAAATATACTTAAATAAAAAAATAAAAGAGTATTTTCCCTTTGATAAAGTGCTTAATAAAGTATTCAAGATTTCTAAATGATTAAGTGGGAAACCAAGGTACTCCCTGTACATTGCTTTAAATGTTTAACACTTGTGTTGTAGCGATGACTGACAATAAAGCGGCTTGTAATCGTCAATTCACAAGGAAACTTTAGACATTCTACATTTTATCACTAAGACTTGCTGCGGGCTACGTTCAATGAATATTGTTGTCGCCAATACCTTCATTTCTTTTCTAAACATTTAGTTATTTTTCACAAACATTTTAGCGGCATTTAATTGTCAGTAAATAAAATAACTGTCCTTTGGTTTCTGATAAGAATACTGAAACTAGCACTGAACCTTAGATTCTGTTGAATCTTTTTTCCTTCTCTTTTTACGGAATATAATTTAGATACGAATTTTGATAACGCTCATTTTGATAAATATGTTGAAGTGTAGTAGCAAAGGTAAACATACATTCAAAGTTTTATCTGACATTTCTTTGTACAAGTTTGTAGTTGATTAATCTAACTAATTTATAAATATTGAAAAGATATACCATAACACAGTGAATACTGGCGGGTATATATGTTTCCGCGTTTCATTTTGGTGCTATGTGGCAATGTATATTTTGCTATGTGGGGTCGAGATGTCTTACCCACTTGGGAACAAAAAGTCATGTCAGAAGTCATCTTGATATTGTAGGGGATCGAGAAGTCAAGGTGTCTTAATGTCTTACTTGCATCGGATTAGAGTAAACTTAAATAAACTATATTTCGCATCGTTTTGTCAAGCTTATCTAGTAACAATCAAAATATTTACTATTTATTTTATGACACTTATATTTTACCATGTTTAAGAAAATGGTTATTTATTTCCATATTATAATACCATTTAATTAAATGAATCATCCCTATAGATAAAGTTGTTGTGGATGAGATTTTGTTTTTTTATGTAAAAGGTAAACTTAGAAATATTTGCTTTGTATATAACGATATTCCCGAACTTTGGCCTCATTTCCTTGCTTTCCAAGTAAATTAATCGTGTATTGATAAATTACCTGTAAACTATTTTTCCGCTTAAGTGTTGCAATAGAGGTTTGGTAAAAATATTATTTACCTTTGCATAGACTGACAAGAATTTGAAATAGGCAACTGAACTGAAGTATCTGAAAAAAAACAACTTAAGGTGTAGACGAGAAAGACTTTTTCATTTTGCGGAAGTTTAAAGTTAAAGAATGAAAAAATCATATGAAAATACTCCGCTTCTATTGTTTTCTCAAAAGTTATGTCATTCCCAATGCGGTAACTAATAAGATTCCTACACGTCATAGCTATAATTAGAACCCTGATTTGGTAAAAGAATAAATACCCGATTAGACCAGTTACACATTCATTTCTGAAAATGGCAGTATCAAGCATTTTAGAAATATTTATATTAGCTTTAGGTCTTACTCAGATTATTGCAAAAAGTGAATATAACAACACATGTGTATATAGGCTAGCACATGAAAAAGATTCACTTGATCCATCATTTGATCTGTTGGTACTTTCGTATACAATATCGGGCAACCAAAGCGGATGTATAATGGACGTGAATGAGATTTTCAAAAATTTAACAAAACATGTAACAGTGAACAAAACTAATCTATATTTGTATATAAGTGTTTTATGTAAAGATTATGATGACATTCACTTTCTGTCTTCAGGATCAAATGTGAAATTTGATGAACTATATATTTCTATTGATTTATCAATAACTATGTGTACTCTATACATGGATGAATTGGTAAATTTTGAACAATATGGATACATTTATTCTATGACTACCGCAAGTGTACCATACATACACACAGGTGCATCTTTCTCTGGTTTTAACAATCTTACTAGGTTATCGTCTAGTCTAGTTTGTAAAGAAAACTGTAAAAACGAAACAAGACTGAGAAAATCTTTCTTCTGGGAGTTATGTGACCCATTTGAGCAGCTGACTGAATTGAATCTACAGGGATGTAGGGAGGACATGTATTATATGAACACCTCCTTCATACAAAATAAATTCCCAAAACTTCAACAACTCAGTTTGAGATACACGAATTTGACATCAAGTGAAATGACTTTTCCATGGACTAATGAATTTTTCAATACACCAGATCTTGAACTTTCCTTCAATAAAAAAATTGATAAATACGGCAATGATTCTATACAAAGGAGTATCGCTATATATGACAGCATTCTGAACTTCAATAATGATGTTACCCTGGTCGGATATATATCTAGAATACGTATAATCAATAGTAAAATGCAAAAAGTAGCAGATACTATATTCATGAAGGTACATGGTTTAATATTTCTCGATCTATCAAATAATGAAATTAAAGAAGTGCAAAAAAATGCTTTTACAATGCAGACCAAGCTGGAGACACTTATCTTAGCTAATAACAATTTGACAACACTACCATTAGATGTGTTTGACAATCTGTCTAATTTGTTGAATTTAGACTTATCTTCAAACAGAATAACAGAAGTTGAACAACGATATTTCAAACATTTGACTAAACTAGAGAATCTTAATTTGGAACACAATGCCATAATAACATTACCGTATGACTTTCTTGAGTCGCAGATTAACTCAATTCGTGACGTCACTCTTGCCGAAAACCCATTGGAAAATTTACCGTTGAATGTTTTCTATGCTCCAAATATACAGTCTGTTGATATGCGCCATTGCCGTATCAATGCAAGTGGGCTTCAGCCACTGCTGTACAATGCAAGCTTTCCAAAAATGGTGAACACTGCACAAAAGATCCCTTCAATATTTGATCTGTCTCAAAATGATATTACAAAAATACCGATAAGTTTAAAGAATTTATCAGAAGATCATCTAATGACTAATCTCTTGTCTATTATCATGAAATTTTACCTTAATCTACAGGGCAATCCAATAGACTGTAGGTGTTCGAAGGTTTTTATCACAATGTTAGAAGTTTTGCATACAATGTCAGAAGCGTTGCGTATACATGAAATTGACTGGAAATGTCAAGAACCATTGGAGCTCAAAGGACGATTAATGGCCACGATAAAACCTGAAGAAATCTATTGTCCAATTTACAGTCAATCTTGTCCTGATAGATGTGCTTGTTTTGAACGGAATTTTACCAACACGCTAATTATTGACTGTAGGAATATCAACAACCCAGTCAAGCATCATGGGATTTTGAAGTCAGTTGGCAAATGTGTTTAGAATTATGAATTCTTGTTATCCGATCGAGCAATTGTTACAATCAATACTTTAAGGCCTTGTGAATATCAAAAGAATGTTTCTTATTAAGTTTAAGCATATTTATTCATAATCATAAACTGCACATAATATACCTTCATTCTATGTTATATACAAAGTTGAAATGGATTAGAACGAAATATATAAAATCTTAAAAAGTTCTTCTCCGAAAAGACTGTATATATTAACAGTCATCTTTTCTCTTACTTTAAAGGGTCTTTTCTTGCGAAAAAATGTTCATGACATACTAATTATTCTGTCCGGTCATAACATCTATATTCCTGTTATCCGGTTTCCTAACATATATAGTAGGGGAATCCATGTCTTATCCATGTCTTTATACACATGTCTATGCCACTTGTACATGTATATTTTAAGTGATTTGTAACTATTTTCACGAGGAGAATTATATGGAATATATATATATATATATATATATATATATATATATATATATATATATATATATATATATATATATATATATATATATTGTTATGACAGTTTGACTTTGTCAGAGAGGGCTGTTGCTAACTTGTAATAATTTGTAGCTTAATCATTTTGTACTACAGATAGAAATACTTATGTGAACAGTTGTTTTGTATAATATCCATGTTTTACATGTAATTATGTAGATATATAGCAGCAATAAAAGAGTATTTATCTGTAAAAAATCAATTACTTTTTACTAGACAAACATCACCCAGAGTTACAGTCCCCACGAGGACATTGATATATACGGACCCTTGGTGAAGTGATCTGAAAGTATCTCAACTCTAATTTCAAACTTTGCAACTCTAATCCCACGGATACAGGACTGTGATTCAGGGATGATCTCTTACTTAGAGGTTTAGTAGATCAACATGCGTGAATGAATTGAACGTCGTGAACTGTAGAATATCTGTGGTAAGATTGATTCTAGCCATATGACGCAGGTTAGCAATGTAGGGTCATCATTGTCCTCTTGTTCAATATCTTAATTAATCACCGTGACATTAATAAGACTATACTATAACTGTACCTTTATACCTAAAGTTTTGGCTGCAGAATAAAAGGTATCAATAGAGAAGTTTGGAAACTAATGTCTCAAAGTGGCATTGATTTGACCTAAAATGTGTTTACCTTGTTATTTATGCAATAAAATAGATCTATCCATATATCAAAATAATATAAAAAAAATTACTGTTAGATCTACATTGTTATAGACTATAACAATTTAACAGTAAAAATAAATATATATATATATATTAATCAGGTATATATATTGTATATTTTATTGCATAAATAACAAGGTTAAACACATTTTAAGTCAAAAATGCCACTAGCACCTTTAACCGCAACTGGTTTTGGATATTATTTGGAACTTTAAGCTGATTATATTATTATGTTTATCAAATACGTTTATATTATCATGCGGAATACTCGGTCTTTAACCTATAGAATAACATTGAAGTCATGGAAGAAACAATGAATAGTTCAGCTACTTATCCATTGCCAAATATTTGTAAGTTATTGCATTTTTTGAGTGTGTTTTTTATATAGCACTAATCAATCAATGGTACATTTATTTTATCGATATTTATTAAAGCAAACTTGAATCTTTGTAACCGGTCGAATTAATACTTAAAGACAAGGGGGATAATTCCGTGACTTGTCTTCTATCCTGTTCTATAGCAGCTTCTAGGAAATCCACTTTTTCAGGAATAATACTTGTATATGATAAACTAGTGATGGAACACAATCTATACACAGTATAATCCATCTTTTAAAATCCTAATCCCAAATAAAGTTACACATAATAATGATTTAAGGTCCATGATTCAAAACGTATTTCGATTTGCATTGAATTTATCTATTATCCCTTTCGCGAGTGTTATAGGCAGGAATTAAATGCATTCATAAACGTTTACACTATTTTTTACCCATTAAATGAAATGACCACATTGTCTTACAAAATATCCTAATAATTGCCTGTAATCATGAATTTTATTAATTCTCTTATGAGAGTGGCTAGCCGTACGGGCTCGTAGTCGTGCGGTTAGCTAAAAGTTCTAGCTGTTCATGAGTCAAGTACGACTAGCCAGGACACACTGTATTGTCTAGTCGCATGGCACTTTTCAAAATTGTATGAAAGTTGAAAATATATATTTAATTATTTTGTGTCTTTTAACAAGGATTTTAACCAAGTATACCCTTATTTGTCCTCTTTGTTCACTTTAATAAAGAAGCTCCGCCACTTTGTAAAAAAAGGGAAAAATGGATACAAAGGTATTGCAAGCCTTGCAATCTTGATAAAAAAAGTGTCAAAGGTGCATGACACCTTAAACAATGTACATGCAAAATTATATTTATGATTAAATAATTAATAGTTATGTTATAAGTTATAATTATAATAAATGTTGTTGTTTTTCATGCTTATTTTGTATGATAGTTTTATTATTAAATCATTTTTTGTTATTTATTAGGCAATCAAAACGGCAAAAGAAGCTTGTTTCATAACAGCATGATCGGAGGGGAATAAACAAATAGAATAGATAGACATGAACATTGTTCTTCATCCCTTCCTTGATTACTTAGTAAATAAATAGAACATTCGAAAAAAATGATAAAGGTGAAAAGCAAAAACAGTTTTTTAAATTACGTTGATTATTTAATGTCAATGATAATTTCAAATACTGTAGACAAAATGTTTAATGATGAAAGAGGAGAAGAAAGCAATATTCCCATGCTTGAAACTGTCTCCGACACAGATGATTATCACAGTAACGATTTGATCAGGGTTTGACACATAAATCAAATCGTTTAAAGTAAATATAAAAAATTGGATGATAAATATGTGTCTTTTAAACTGTTAATAATAATTTTAGACTAGATAATTTAATTGTTGATTGGGTAGAGTAGCAAGCTGTAAATATTTTCCTATACATGTACATATTCAACTCAAATATTATAAGCCTTTTATACAGTTGTTCCGTTATAAGAATATAGTTGTTTGTACGATTTAAAAAAAATGAAATATTACTTTACAGTTATCCATCAGGTACAAAGAATATCTTATCAAACAAAAAGTGTATTATTTCAAATAAATTGATGATTGGTTGTTTCTGTGATGTTTTTATATTTATTTATGAAATTCGTAGATGTTCTTATATCTAACTTATGTTTGATGATTGCGTCATGAATAAACATTTTACAGTAGACTAATTATCCGACCTTGATTCATAGTGAGTGTTTAATCGAACTTAAGTATAATTTAGTGTTCCCATGTTTCTTTGTTTGCGTGCCTTGCTCAAATCTTAGATCGATATCTACATGTATATTTATTATTGAAATTCTACAAGTTTTAATTTTATGCCATCGCTATTATAATGGCAAATTGGTGGTGCCCCTGTCCATCTCGGTGCGTACGTGTCTTCGAAAACCTTGTCCGGTCCAAAACTCAGCCGTGCATGAAGTGATTTTGAATTATTTTGGCACAAACGTTAAGCATGATGAGACTGTGAGTCATGCGCAAAACCTGGACAACTAGTTCCAAAGTCATGGTAGAAAATCGTGTCCGACCCATACCTTCGCTATGCATTAAAGGATGTTGGAATAACTTGGCACAAATGTGAAGCATAATGAGACGCGGTGTGTCATACGCAAGACTAAGACACCTGACTGTAAAGTCAACGGTCAGCTCAGAGGTCAAAGGTCAACAGAAAAGGTCAGCAGAAAATATTGTCCGCTCCACAATTCAATTGATTTTGAAGTCAATTGGCAAGTGTTTCGCCTGCTGAATTTTTGTTATCCGAGCAATTGTTTTAATCAATGCTTAACTTGACAATGGAAATGATTTTTACTTATTGAACTTTTTTTCTGTTTTATTTTTGTACAGTACAATCTAAATTGAGAATTTTATGCTCTGTCACTCTTAAATCAAAGCCTTCTGAATATTGAAAAAATAGTTTTAAAATACCCTGATTTTATCAACAGCCATCCCAAGTTTTACGGTATTTTAGAAAAGGTCTTGACTTCAAGAAAGATTATGAAATACCAACTTTTCTGTCATGTCATAACATCTTTAATAAAGTAAAAATGGAATGTCTTAAGATTTATAGGAAATTATTTTATATTTTATAAATTTGATAAAAATATCATGACTAAACGATGCAAAAAATATAGTTTATTCAAGTTCATTGTAATCCGGCGAATCTTTGTTATAAATTATTTGTTTGAAGATTTAGTTTATATATCTACAGGATTTATTTGAGTTCGATTATGTAAGAAGCTTTAAGCTTATAGACCGTTCCTCAAACCAGCCATCTATGGGTTTCTTCTCTTGTTCAGAGAAATAACAGACTGCCCCTGATGGGTTTTTGACCCATGTGGCTTGAGATCCAGAGATAACAATTCCGGCGCGTTAACCACCTGACCACTTGAAGACCTCCAGGAGGTAAAATATGACTTATTATGTTTAAAGGGAGACACAGGCAAAATTTTCATTTCTTAGTTTTGAGGTTTTCAGTCATTATTATGTTAATGCCCTCACAATGAATATATAAGAAAGTCAAAGGAACAAAACCTTTCTCCATATAAAGAATAAAATGGTGGTTTCCTAACTTGACCCGCGTGGGTCAGGTTAGAACGCTAGCATTTCACAATTGTTGTCAAAGTGAACTCTGGAAACGTTAAAGAACATGTCAAAAGTATGAATTAGACTTGTTTCAAACATACAATATCCATAATATATGTTATTGTATTCAAGGGTTTGTTCAAGTCATGTGACTTGTTTTAAAACTATTTGGTGATTCTATTTGGGTCTAAATTTTGTTCAACATCATTTTAATATTTTTGTCATTATTTTGCCTGAATATCCCTTTAATTGTTGAACATTGTGGACACGTCTTTCATAACGACTTTTTATTGTGTTTTCTTTGTGTCATCGTTTTGAAAATACAAAAAAATGAGACGCGAGTACAAATAAATAACCAATACCGGCATGAGTTCGACATTATTCTATATCATATCTTTTTTGTCATTTAAAATAAACCGCTACAAACATGTACATACTATGTAACTGTTTGAATATCGACATACAATATTTCAATATTTCCCTTCGTTTAAAACGGCTCAATTATTAGTAACAACAAAAAGTTTGTGTATAAGTTATCACATATATATGATTATATGAGCGTTATCAATTTCATCTTTATTTTGATTTCAAACAAAAAAAAGAAGCAGAAAAGATTCAGCAGAACCTAAAGTTAAATGTTATAGTTTCAGCGTTCTAATCAGAAGTCATAGGACACTTATTTTATATACTGACAGTTAACTTTGTATTGTGTGATAGAGGTTGTTTCTAAAATATTTCTACTTCAAAAACGTTACCATTGAACTGAATGACAAAGTTTTCAAAATTGCCGATAGAGATTTTATGTATTGAAAAGAAAAGCTGAAAACTATGTTCATATAAAAAATTTTCCTCTCTGACAGCGCAGGCCGCAAAAGGTTTTTGTATTTTTCTGATCGGAGATCAGTAAATACATAGCGGACATTCAATCTCTGACACAGATTTTCACGACAAACCTAACAACAAGTAGTTCTCAAAAAAGCTTAAAACTAGCGATTTAAAAGAAAGAAATATTTTTATTTTGTTACAAGTATCCAACAAATTACAACGCATTCAAAGTTTAAAAGTAGCGTTGGCTTATAGAATTGTCAATAAATGCACAATCACAAATTACGCGGATGAATATGATTTTAATCAATGAAAATGCTATTTTAGCGATGTCGATTACAGAATACTACACAAATAAATCTGACTGCCGAGTACTGGAATATATAGATTCTACATGTCGGATTTGTTTGGGCGAGAAGATTTTCGCTAAATATTTACTTCAATTTTAAACACCAGGTTTATCCTGAAATTAATAAGGATTACAAACCCGAAATGCAATGGAAGTTTTAAATTTAGAATGACCTGATTTTATTCAGGCAAGGTTTATATAACTTCTCCGTGGTGCAGGGGTAACGCGCTCGTTTCGTGTGTGAGAGGTCTGGAGTTCAAATCCCAGTCGAGGCAACTTTTTAAAAATTCTTTTTAAGTGTCTTTATTCAAGAAGTAACCATGATATGCAAGGATAAAGTGTGGCTGTCATAAAAAATGAACATAAATGATTTTTTGATGCAACTCTAGTTATGCAAAATTCCGTATGTATCAAACGCTGGTGCATTGCAAGATAAAAATAAACTAATACAGGAAAATACATACAGATATATAGTATGATTTAGATCACAAAGATCAGAAAATACCACAGAGCTTGCAGCCCTTTGATTTTTAGTAAGTTATAATTACAAGAAAATAGTCCGCTATTCTCTGGGCCACAATGTTGTCATTAACCATTTCTTCAAAAGTCACGTGATTCCGTATGTAGTAACTGAAGCATGAAATAACAAGATTCCTACACGTATAAAATGTGAAAGCTATAATTGGAAACCTGATTTGGTAAAGGAATAAATACCCGATTGGATCACCTACAAGTCCATTTTGAAAATGGCAGTAACCAGCATTTTAAAGATATTGGTCGTAGTTTTCAGTCTTACTCGGACTATTGCAAAGTGTGAATATAACAACACCTGTGCATATAAGTTGATAACGGAAGATCAAAAGCGTTCACCTGATTCATATTTAGAGGTATTTACGTACATAATATGGAATAACCAAAGCGGATGTATTATGAACGTGGATGAGATTTACAAAAATTTTACAAAACATGTAACAGTGAACATTACTAAACTCTTTCAAGGTGTCATTTTTCAATGCATAGATAATATTGATATCCACTTTCTATCTTTAGAGGCCAATGGGAAAATTGATAAACTTGATGTCTTATTCGATTTAGGTGTAACAACGTGTTCTGTGTATATGGACGAATTGGCGAATTTTCAACAATATGGATACATTTTTTCTATTACCACAAAGGAAACGTACATTCATCCAGGTGCATCTTGCTCAAGTTTGAAAAATCTTAGAGAGTTATCGTCAACTCTAGTTTGTTCAGAAAACTATAATAACGAAACAAATCTAAGAAAATCTTTCTTCTGGGAGGAATGTGAAACATTTGATCAGCTTATAAAATTGGATCTTCAGGGGTGTAGGCAGGACATGTATAATATAAACGCCTCCTTCGTACAAAGTAAATTTCCAAAACTTCAACAGCTCATGTTGAAATACACGAATTTGACATTAAATGAAATGACTTTTCCATGGACAAATGAGTTTTACAACTTCTCTGATCTTGATAGTATCAAACCCATTACCTTTTATACAAAAGGTGATAAATACAGCTGTTATTCTATGAAAAGAATTATTGCTATATTTGACAACATTGTAAAATTAGGTAATGATGTGTCCTTGGTCGGAACTATATCTGAAATTATCATAAACGAAAACAAAATACCAAAACTAACAGATATTTTATTCATGAAAGTCCGCGATTTGATAGTTCTAGATCTATCAAATAATGAAATCAAAGAAGTGGACAAACATGCTTTTATTATGCAAACCAAGCTGGTGACACTTATCTTAGCTAATAACAATTTGACAACACTACCATTAGATGTGTTTGACAATCTGTCTAATTTATTGAATTTAGACTTATCTTCAAACAGAATAACAAAAGTTGAACAACGATATTTTAAACATTTGACTAAACTAGAGAATCTTAATTTGGAACACAATGCCATAATAACATTACCGTTTGACTTTCTTAAGGCGCAGATTAACTCAGTTAAAGGCGTTTTTCTATCCGAAAACCCATTAGAGACCTTTCCTTTGAATGTTTTATATGCTCCAAAGATACAGTTTGTCGGTTTACGCCATTGTCATATCAATTCTAGCGGTTTCCAGTCTCTGCTGAAAAATTCACATTTATACGTGATTTCTCAGTCACGTCCCTTAGATCCTTTAAGAATAAAAGAAAAGTTCTCTTTACTAACACCAAAATTGGATTTGACTAAAAATAATATTACAAAAATTAGTTTTAAAAATGGACTGGGTTCAGATGTTATCAGATTATTGGCTTTTAGTAAGAGATTGTACCTAAATCTAACAGACAATCCAATAGATTGTACTTGTTCATGGAGTGTTCTATATATGCATGGAATTAATATCGACTGGAAATGTCAAAATCCGTTGGAGTTAAAAGGACGATTAATGTCCACGATAAAACCTGAAGAAATATATTGTCCAATTTACAGTCATTTATGTCCTGATAAATGTGCTTGTTTTGAACGTAATTATACCAACACGCTAATTATTGACTGTAGGAATATCAATATGACTTCCTTACCTTCGGTGGTGCCAGCTGGAAGATTAGAATTGTGGTTCAGTAATACAAGTTTACTTGAAATATCACCTATGGTCTATATGAAAAATGTTACTTTTCTAGACGTTTCTCATAATAGAATAAACCAGATCACAACCGTTACTGCAAAAGCTCTGGGCAGCGTATCAACTTTAAAGTTAGATTACAATAACTTGACACATTTCCCTGAAGAGTTTGCGACAATGAATATGTCCAAAGTAACGCTCTTAGGCAACCCATTCGTTTGTGATTGCAAGATGAAATGGATGAAATCATGGCTTAATCAAACAAATCCAGTCGAACAATGGAATAAGATTGAATGTAAATATAACACAAGCAGTTTTCGACAACTGATTTCATTACCTGATTCAATGTTCGTTTGCCCAACAAACTTACTCCTCCACGAACATGTCGTTTTTCCGTCAGTAATAACTGGAAGTGTTTTGTTTGTTTTAGTATGCATTTTAATACTTATTACCTTTCAACGCTTTACAATAAAGGTTCTACTATTTCTGTACTGTGGATTTCATCCATTTGATAAACAAATTCAAAATCACTCAAATGCAACGCATGATGCTTTTATTTTATACTCTTACATGAACAGGGAATTCATACAAAACAACTTGGTAGACAAATTGAAGAGCAAAGGCTACAAAGTTGCTGATTTTTATAAAGATATGATCGTTGGTTTTTCGTTTCTTCAAAACGTCGAAATTTTCATTGAAAGATCTAAAAGAATAATATTTTGCTGGACAAAGGATATGTTTGAAAATGATTTAATCATATCTGCTTGGAATATGGATTACGAGAAAGCAGTGATAAATGAGCTGGACCTTCTGATATTAGTAGTTGATAGTGATTTAGATAAACGTGCATGTACCAATGACAACTTGCAAAGGTATCTTAAAAGTGGTAGATATATCAAATAACAATCCAAATATATGTTTGCAAGCGTTGAATATTTAATGCCAATGATTAGTTCAAATAATGTAGACAAAATGTTTAATGAAGGAAGAGGAGAAGAAAGCAATATGCCCATGCTAGAAACTGCATCTAACACAGATTATTATTATGGTAACGAATTGATTTATGTGTCATACCCTGATGATCTAGACTTTGAAATCCGACATGATCTTATCCCGTACTTATCAAGAAAAGGGAGAAATATCAAAGTTCTTGAACACGAATTCACACCTGGAGCTGATATCCGTGAAGAAATTCATAACAAACTTGATTCCTCGCAGCATTTAATTTTCGTCATTTCTCGTTCTACGTTTGATGATGATATTAAAATGTTTATCCTCACAACAGTGATGTCAAATTCAATATTACGTAACAAAAATTATTTGCTGTTATTTACATCGGGCCTTTTACATGGTGATGACTTCACAAAGGAGATCAAGAATTATTTCAACAATTTTGTGACAGGAAGTTACAGAGAAGAAAATTTTAAAACTCGTATGCTTCAAGCATTATGTCCAGATTTTAGCTTACCCCATGATGAAAACATGGTTGAAAATCAGTAAAAAAGATAATTGCATTTAGAGATTATAAATGTGATTTTTAAACTGTTAATAAATTTAGAATTGAATTGTTGATGGGGTAGAGTAGAAAGCTGTATATATTTTCAATTTTATATGCATATTCAATTCAAATAGTATTTATAAGCTTTTTTTTCCGTTACAAGCATTTTATTTTTGTTTTGTACCAGTTCAAGACTGTAATATAACTTTACATTTATCCATCGGTTTTTGTATTTCAAATATTTTTTGTAACTGATTTATTTGATATTTATAAATCAAGTGTGCACATGTGCTTTTAGCTAACTTATGCTTGAAGGTTGTGTCTTGAGTAATCTTTTACAGAAGACTCATTCTCCGACCTTGGTTCATAAAAGTGAGTGTTTAATCACACCTCAGTTAAATGCAATGTTCTCTTTTTGTTTGTACATGTATGTGTGCCTTGCTGTCAAGTATTAAAAGTATATCTATATAAATTAATGCTTTTTTCAAGTTCTCCTGGTAAAAAAATATGAAAACAAAGCCACCGCAATGATAATGGCAAGTTGGTACACATAGTGTTACTCCTGTTCGTATTTCCATTCGTTCGTGGGTACGTTGCGTGACTGATAAAACATTGCCCGATGCAAAACTTAAGGGATTTTGATTCATTTTTGGATAAAAGTTAAGTATGATGAGACGACTGTTAAAGTGATGCGCAAGACCTAGACCCATTTAGCTTTTAGATATAGAAAATCTTGCCCGCTCCACAACTCAGTCAAGCATCAAGAGATTTTTAAGTCAGTAGAATTATGAATTCTTGTTATTCGAACAATTGTTATAATCAATGCTTTAAGGCCTTGTGAATATCAAAAGAATGTTTATTATTAAGTTAAAACATATTTTTTTTCATAATCATAAACAGTACATAATATCCTTCATTCAATATTATATACAATGTTGAAATGGATTAGAACGAAAGATACAAAATCTTAAAAAAAATTCTTCTCCGAAAAGAATGTTTTTATTAATAGTTATCTCTGCTGTTACTTTAAAAGGTCTTTTATTGTAAAAAAATGTTCATGAAATACTAAAAATTCTGTCCTATTATAGCATCTGTATTCATGTTATCCCATGTCCTAACATTTATGGTGAGGGAATCCATGTCTTATCCATGTCGATCTTTTGACATATCTCTAGTTTTATTTATTCTACCACTTCTACATGTATTTTTAAGTTATTTGTAACAATTTTCAGGAAAAATATTATCTGGAATATATATATGTTATGACGTTTTGATTTTGTCTGAGATTGTACATTTTGTAACTTAATCTATTTGCATTAGAGCTGGGACAGAAGATAACTTATCTTCTGTCCCAGATTATAGAGTTTTTCTTAAATGAACATTTGTTTTGTATAATATCCATAATTTACATGTATTATGTAGATCTAGCTGCAATAAAAGAGAATAAAACTGTAGAAGTTGAATTACTTTTTGCTTAAACAAATTTCACCAAGAGTTACACCCCCCTCGGGGACGACCTGAAAGTATCTGAACTCTAATTGTCTTGAAATATCAGACCACTGACCAGGGATACAAGCCTGTGCTTCAGGGGTAATCTCTTGCTTAGAGGCTTGGTAGATCAACATGAGCCAATGTGAGCGATGCAGGGTCATAATTGCCCAATTACTCCCTATACTATGCGCGGCGCTATGATACAGTCATTTTTGTAAGACTTTACTATACTGCACCTAAAGGTTTTTGCTGCAGAATAAAAGAGGACAAAAGAAAATTAGGACAGGAATGTCTGATAGTCCGTATTGTATTATCGGTGCCAATATTATTTTCATTTTTTAGGGGGAACTTTAAGCTGATTATTATACTATTATGTTAATCAAGTACCTCTATATAATCATGCGGATTACTCGGTCTTTAACCTATAGAATAACATTAAAGTCATGGAAGAAACAATGAATAGTTCAGCTACGTATCCATTGCCAAATATTTGTAAGTTATTGCATTTTTTGAGTGTGTTTTTACATACAACTAATCTATCAATGGCACATTTATTTTATCAATACTTATTATAGTAAACTTGAGTCTTTGTAACCGGTCGCATTTATAGCCAAGGGAGACAATTCCGCATGTTCGTGACTTGTCTTTTAGCCATAGGCACTCGGTTCAACAACGTCCTATGATTTTAATCTTTTAAAAAAAAATTTCTATCATGTATATAAAATACTACAAGGTTTTGCAGCCGCCATGTTTTAACGAAACGGAAGTGCGTTGACTGGTGCAGGTGGACAATTTTCAATTTAAAACACTAGTTCCCGATTCGATGAACAGATGAATAGAGACTTGGCTAATGCGGGTACCACAAAATTTTATTGACTATTTCGCCGAGGTACCCGCATCGACAATATTCTTTTAAAGGTGACTTGGGAGCCAATTTTTTTTTTTTCAATTGTACACCAGTCAACACACTTCCGTTGCGTTAAAAAATGGCGGCTGCGAAACCTTGTAGTATTTTATATATACTCGAACCCCACGATACCGGTGACTCCACGTTACAGGTATATTCACATATCTCGCGATATTATTGTCAATGCTACCTATCGGGTGTTTATATTTACATGCTCCCGGTAATATTGGCTATTTCAAAGTTTTGAAACATTTTGATGAGTTTCTGAAGGAAATATTTCACATATCCTACCTTATTATGCCACCGCAGCATCTGGGATGTATCTGCGATGCGGTGGCATATAGCGATTCACCTGTGTGTGTGGGTGTGTGTTTGTTTGTTTGTGTGTTTGTTATACAGATTATATAGTGAACTTAAAAAATCTTCTTGTGAAAAACCACTAGTCCAATTTCAACCAAACTTGGCAGGATTGATCCTTGGGTGAAGGGCTTCCAAAGTTGTTCAATTTGGAATTAAATTCCATGCATAAATCTGGTTGCCATGGCAACCAAAAGGAATTATAAGAATAAATTTAAAAAATCTTCTTGTAAAGACCCAAAAAGCCTAGAGCTTAGATATTTTGCATAAGGCATTGTCTGCTAGACTTTTACCAAGATTGTTCAAATTATAGCCCTGGTGTCAAAATCGGCCCCGCCTCTGGGGTCATTGATTTTCACTATATGTACATATAGTAAAAACTTAAAATACCTTTTTGTAAAGACCCATAGGCCTAGAGGTTAGATATTTTGCATAAGGCATTGTCTGGTAGACCCTTACCAAGACTGTTCAAATTATAGCCCTGGGGTCAAAATCAGCCCTGCCCCGGGGGTCATTGATTTTCACTATATGTACATATAGTAAAAACTTAAAAATACCTTCTTGTAAAGACCCAAAAGGCCTAGAGCTTAGATATTTTGCATAAGGCATTGTCTGATAGACCTTTACCCAGATTGTTCAAATTAAAGCCCTGGGGTCAAAATCGGCCCCGCCTCTGGGGTCATTGATTTTCCTCATATTTACATAGTAAAAACTTATAGTAAAAACTTTAAAAAAAATTCTTCTAGCAATTGACAAATGCTAGAGGTTAGATATTTTGCATGAAACATTGTGAAGTGAACCTCTAGCAAGATTGTTCAAATAATAGCCCTGGGGTCAAAATTGCCCCCGCCCCGGGGTCATTGATTTTCAATATATACATATAGTAAAAAATCAAAAAATCTTATTGTCTGAAGGTACAAGGCTTAGAGCTTTAATATTTGTTAAATGATATCATCTATAGGTACTCTACCAAAGTTGTTCAAATTTTGCCTCTAGTGTCAAAATTAAAAGTGAACTTTGATATCAGCTGACCTAGATTTTGACAAAGTGTATTACATGTTGTCCTTTGATGCAGTCATGAAATTTAGGCTGTGTGAAATAGGACCTTCACCACCAAATTCACTAGACTCAACTGCATTGATATATTCCTACTCTGATCTTTTATTGAGTTAACAATAGATTTAACCACTAATCTGATAATAAGAATTAGATATGCATTATTTCAATCTTCAATTGTATAGAAACAAAAAAAAAATCTGTTCCTACACTACTATTTAGTATTGTATTCATGCGGTGGCATAGCATTTTTTCTCAAATGCAATCTTGTTTTTATTTTACTATCCTATTCCTCCATTGCATAAATTGGTCTCTCTACAAAACACTTTTTTTTCCAAAAAAATAAAAAATGACAGGTGCTGATGTCAATCAACCTCCATTACATGTCACTTGACCTTATGACATCATTTTTGGCGGGAAAAAATTAATCTATGGAAAGCCATTAGTACATATAAAATAGTTTGTGAAAATTAAAAAGTCAGTTTCATTCAGTCTTTTAAGGGAGCCTGTGTAAAGTGCCATATTGATATTTAATCTTCATCATACAGAAATAAAATAGATTCAATGATATAAAAGGACCAGAAAATCACAACA